GGCTCAGGGGTCACTGTATGGATGGGGCTGGTTCAGGGATCACTGTATGGACTGGGCAGGCTCAGGGGTCACTGTATGGATGGGGCTGGCTCACGGGTCACTGTACAGACTGGGGTTGGCTCAGGGACTGTCCCACAGAGCCAGAGATCAGTGTGATCACTGAATCTGAGCATGGAAGGGAAATCCACAGATGGGTGTGGCTGTTGTACAAACACCTGACTGGACTGCCAGTGAAAAAAGTGGGTTGGGAATTACTCAATTCAGTGATCTTTTAGAAATACAGAAAGCCAAGCTCAAAGCAGCAAAGATAAAACTGACAGTGTTCTCTGAGCATTGCAGGGCTCTAAATAGTGAGGGTGACTTCTTGTACAGCAGTGCAGGTAACACTCAAGTAAGTTCTCTATCAAAGGATGGATATCTAGAAAAAAATCTATCTAAAATCTCTGCCTACTTTAGAAACAGTCTTTTTTAAAATTTGGAAATGGAATTTGACTTAGTGTTGCTGTGATGGAATAAAATGTTGCATTTACACCTATAGTTAACATTCAGCTTTTGAATGTAAGAGCAGTGAAATGACTGGGCCAGTTGTTTAACGTTAATTGTGTGCTTGTAAGGTGAGCAAATGGCTGTTCCTTTAAAGTATGGAAGCAGGTCTGGGAATTCACCAGGAATGTCAGTCCTCAAGAGACTATTATTTTTGCCAGCATTCTTCTGTGTGGATATTCTATATAAGAATGTTAAAGTATACATTGCAAAATTGCTTCCAAAGTGTAGGAATTGAATGCCCTTGAAGATCCCTAACTTGAAAATGAGGCCTCCTTGTCAGACAAACTGCATGGTATACTCTTTGATGACATTGAGCTCAGGTGTTCTGAAAATAATAGTTTAAGTGCTCCATTCATTGCCCCTTAAGTTAAAAGACAAAATGAAATGGAAACCAAGTCTTCTACTCATTCTGCCATACTGGATCCCAGAGAAGTTGTAAGTTATGGCCAGAAGCAGCTGGAGGAACAATTAAACCTTTTGTATTGGGGAACAGTTCTACAAATACATTTATCTGTAATCACTTGATGTCACTGCAGCTTCAGATTATCCTTGGTGTTGATACTTTATGGATTGTACAGGGTGTGTTTGCAAGTAATTCTGTCTCAGATTCAGGGAACATTACAACTGTGTAAGGTCTTTCTATGGGCCAGAACTTACTACTGTCTTACTATCAAGTTCTGCCAAATTTTTTCAGTCTAGCAGAACATTACCACATCATTTTAACTGCTGAAAACTATGCCTTGCAATTTGGTTTTCATTGGGTAGCTCACTCACAAATAACTGCTGCATCCCTGTGTTCTCTTTATTTAGGTGGGATTGCTCTTTATTTCAATGTACTTGCAGCAAGGGGCTATTTGTAAATAGGAAAAAGCTGTAAGTATTAACACCCAATTTACCTACTTGAACTGGGACACTGAAGGTGAATCAGAGCTGGAGATTCCCTGTGATCTGTGGGAGCTGGGGCTGTGGGGACAGGACACAGCATCTGTTCTCTGCCTGGGTCACAGTTACAGTCACATGGACTGGGAGCCTAAAGCAAAAAATGTTGATTTTTTGCAGACAGGGTGGCAGGACCACGCTGGGCTTGCTTCAGTCTAGATTGTTGCGGTGACAATCAAAATTAGGGTTGCTAATTTTGGCTTATAACCAAATCTGGTAATGCTATAGGAAATATAGTGGTAAGAACAGAAAAAGAAATTAGTATGTGTGATCCCAGCACCTGTCTGGTCACCTCCTGCGGTCCTGTCTAGTTCAGAAGCTGCTCTGGGGCTGCTGACTAAGTTAAAAATATGTGATGATTTCTTATAAATCACTGGCCATAATGATGGAGGGGTCACTTACATAACTGTGACATATTTTGTCTGTAAAATGCAGTGTGTGCAAGTACAACACCTGAGGTGACAGCTCTCACACAGACTGCTCTGATAATCTGGTAATGGAGAAAAGGAGAATGATTTGCACTACCTTAAAAACCTCAAGCATCCATGGCTTTACTGGTTTTGTCTTGTAATTTGATTGATTTTTTTTTCACTGCTCATCACACCTTACATTTTAAAATCTCTACACAAGTGCACTTGTCAACTTGGTAAGATTTCTTCCCTTCCTCCTTATTCCAAAACAAAATGGTTAATTTATAAAATCTAAAGCTCCTCTGGGCTAAAAAGGTTCAAGTAAATACCTTGTGAAATGGGTGAATGCTGCTGGTTCTGTTGGTGGAAGTGACACCTTTTTGTGTTCTCCCCTTGTCATTGGTGCCCACAGGTATGGAAGGAATGCTGTGCAGGGCACCCAAAGTAAAGGAAAACCACAATCTATTCAAATTACTTAAACCAGAGACAGCAAAACACTTGGGTGAGGTTAATGATAACGAATGAGTTTACACTTAGAAGAATATATTATATTCTTCTAAGTAATAACTTCTCTCTGCTGCCTCTGCCAGAACTTCAGAAAAGCATTCTTGAATTTTTCTAGGTATGTATTTGATCAGCTGCATTATTTGTATGTGACTCTGAAAATAAATCAGGCTGTCACTTAGCAGTGAGAGAGTTTTGGAAATGCCTTCTTTAAAACAAGAGAAAACAGCGCATCTTAACTTACCCAAATTGAGGATTACTGTTAACTGGTAATTATCACTGGAGATCTGAGACTGAACTTTGTCCCTGGCCAGCAGAGTCTTGCCCTGAATTTAGCAGAGCTGCTTTTGGTAGAAAGCTGAAAATACAAACTGCTGTTCCCTGCTTGTTCTGTAGTAGAAAGAACACACCTGACATTTCTACAGAAATGTAAACTAATGTGCTGAGAGAGGTCAAAGTAATTTTTGCCAATGAATTGTTGTTAAGAACTTTAAGGCAATAAATACACCATTCATTTTTACTCAGACACTTGTGTCATCTCTGTGTTCTCTAAGGGCCCAGCTGTACGTGACAGCTGCAGTGTCAGGGGCAGTGTTCCTTGGGGGATAGAAGCTAAAGGAGCAACACAGAGAGAAGCTTTACAGTTATTAATGGAGTCTGTGAAATGGAAGTTCTGCTGTTTCTTTACTGGATTAGCTGGGAAGGATCACACTCCTCATGCCCTTCAGTCGCTGCTGTGGCACAAAGGCTGTGCAGGCCCTGGCTGGGACTGTTCTTACCTGACAGGGGTGTGGGCTGAGGCTGAGCAATGGGAGACCTGTTGTGTGGAATCCCTGGAGCCACACAGACTGCAGAGGCATTGGGAAGAAGCGCAGGAAGGTAAATCTATGCTTCAAGGGCAGCTACACTATGTAATTTATTACTGGCAGCAGAACTAAGTAGCGTCAATCAGCAATCCATCCACTAAGTGCTCCCAGTTTGGATAAAATCCCAAAGCCTCTGCTGTTCCCATCCCTTCTTGTACTTCTGTAGGACAGCCTGCTGTGTCACAGCACGTGGCTCCAGGCCTTTGCAGGAGCTGACAGGATGTCTCTGCATGGTTACACCACATTGCCATTGCCTCGGGAGCTGCAGGAGAACCAGAGGCTTAGGCTGGGGCTTCAGGTTATAACAAAGAGGAGAGAAAATAAACCCTCTGGGCTGTAAAGGGTTTTCTAGTTTTGTTATTGTGAAAATGGAGAAACATTTCACGTTCACATTGGTAACCTGTGAGCACCCAGAGAGCAGCTCGTGTGCTGTACCTGTGCCACCACCTGGGAGGCAAAGAGTGCTCAAAGGAAAACACAGCTGGGGATCCCACCTCCAATCCCAGCCTGCACACACCTGTCCAGGGTGGATCAGGCCAGCAGAACCCCACGGTTTGTCTCGGCTGCAGAAAAAGCCCAGAGGTCTGTGTGTGTCCTGGCAGGCAAGGATGGAGCAGCACCTGGGCCCAGGGACACCCACTCTGCTCTCCAGCTGCACAGGGGAGGTGTGGGTAGGAAACTTGGTTCCATCTTTAAGGTTTAGAAAGGCTGTTTGACTGCTCTGCTGAAACCTGAATTTAAAACATCTGTTCTTACAACACAGTGGAAAAGGCTCCATCATTTCTACATGTGAGGTTCAGGAGGACAAAGGCAGATCAAAGAGTCCCAGAATAATGCACTGGGAGCTGTGTGGCTACAGATGTTTCTCTGGACATCTCTGGAGGGAATTGCATTGAGTTCCTCGTGCACTTCAAGTTTAAAAGAAATTAATAATAAAGTCTTACAAATACGCAAGTTTCACCATGACATCACTAAACCCAGAACAGGTAATGGGTTTGATCCACACACACTGGAAACTGGAAACCTAAACAAACCACTTGGCCAGCGTTTTCTGTGGCCTTTGAGCATCCTGGATGATTTAGCTGCGTGTTCTGGAAAAAGCAGAGTAGCAGGATATGCAGCTTCACCCTGTAAATGGCCTTTAACAGAGCTGATGGTTTTCTCATGTTCGGGTTTAATTTTGGGCAGTTTGCAGCACAGTTTCAGTACCAATGGAAAGTGTTGCTTTTGACTTCTCAGCAAAAAAGCTTCTCTCTAAGTTTCTTAATGGAATATTTTGCACAGATTTGAATTCTGGAATGTTGTTTTTAAGCAAGTATTTCTCATTCGGTGGCTTACCACCTTCAGCTGTAAGATGCTGGCTTATATGTACAGCCTTCATCTGTAGCTGGTTTCCCCATAACATTAGTTTTTCAATTACCCATTTGACATTGTGTCCTCACTTTTATGTTAAAATGTATTATGGGGGCACCTTGAAATTCTGCATATAATAAAATAGCTCTTTTGGTATTTAGGCTGTGGGTGTACTGGTCTTCAGGCTTTTAACAGTTTTGGATATACATTAATTTTTTGATGTGTTCTAACTCAGTATTTAATATAGGGTGTGTTGGAGTTGACTATACTTTCACCATAGTTCTGTCAATATATTACAGCCCTCATCTTGTTTAGTTCCTCAAAACAGTTCTCCAGCTTTCCTGTTCCAAGGAAGGTGTAGGCTTCTGCATGGAAATTTAGAACAGCAAACTGGATGAGGGTCTCAGTTTTCAAAATAATTGAGACCAGATTGAATCTTCAGGACTTGTGCATGGGCTAGGCACGGGCTGGACATGGTATTCTAAAAAACAAGTGAGAGTTGCCCAGTTCCTGATGAGAACAAGTGGGAGCCAGGCCCCTCAATGCTCATTTCATTACTGCTTTTGATTTCAATTTAGAGGGGGAGGCTGTGCTGGGCTTTCTGAGAACACCAGTCATATGGAATTGTGCTCTCTGTATGTCTGACCCTCCCTCACCTTTCCCAAGTAACTTGGAATCTGCTGGCAAATTTCAGCCAGATTTCACTGAACTTTGCAGAAACCGAATTGTCTTTGGAGATTTTCCCTCTTGTTCCAAGTTGTAAAATTTCCCTGCTGAGTGATCAGGTTTGGATCCAGGTCAGCTCCCCCACAGAGGAGCTGCAGGCAGCCCGTTCCTGCCGTGTCCAGCTGAGGTGGGAGCAGGGATGAGGTGCTGGGCTGGGGTGTGTGGGAGTCTGGAGGTGCAGCTCCGTTCACTGCTCATGGAACAATGGTTGTTTTCTCTGACTCTCCCGTAGTGCAGAGGCTGCCCCGGAGGTGAGTACGCATGGAGCAGCACCTCAGCCATGCTACAGCTGCCCCCAGAGCCCTCCCTCACCCTGCCAGCTGCCTCCCAAAAGCTCTTCCCCCTTGTCTGCCCCTCAGAGCCCCTCCTGCTGCTGCTCTGCCACTGCCAAGCTTTGCATAGAGCCATTGATGCAGCCCCAGCCACCCCCTTATTGATCCAGGGTTTTTAGTTTGGGATTCTGCAACTTCAGTGTTCTAGAAATAACTGTGTGATGCCTTTATGCAAAAGCTGTGCTGTAAAATTAAAAATGTTTTGTTTTTTCCCCTCCTAAATAATAACAATATAATTCTCCTCCCCTGGAATCTTAGGCATGGTGACAAGATCCTGGGAAATTGGACTGACTGTTCAGGATAGGCATCGCATTCAGCCAACACAGTGATGGAATGATATGTTTCCACTTAGGGAGCATCATCCCATCCTTGGATGGATGGTGCTCATATTCCTTTGTGTGTGTAGTTAGTAACTCCTGTGAAGTAGCAGCTATGTAGTGGTCCCTTAGGAATGCCACTGGTAAACCCAGGAAAGGGTGACTGTTTGTACGTGTGCTGAGGCACTCAGAGCTGTCGCCATCCCTTGGGAGTGACACCAGGAATCCTGCTGGTTTGAGTGCTGCTTTCAAGGGGAAGGGCTAGTGTTAGTAACAGCTGGAACTCCAGCACTGCTGGAAGTGTTCAGCTTACAATTGTGATAAGGAAACTGTTGTAATAAGTTGAAATATTTATACCCATTTCTGATGTGCCCTTATCAAACTGGATGTAACCAGCACTGTCCTGGGCTCCAGGATCTCACAACCCAGAATGACAGGAAAGAGGGCAATGGCCTAACAGAATATTTCCTGGGTCTTGTGGCTTAATTACAGTGGGGTGTTAATTTAAGGAAGTGTTGAGAGAGGGAGTGAGTTAGAGCTGAGATTTGCTAAAAATGTAGAGCAGTATACGTAACTGTAGTGGGTTTTTTCAGTTGCCAGCCAAAACCAATTCTAGATCATAGAAACTTCTTTTTCAGTCCAAAAATAATAATTTTTTGTATTTTACAGTCCTTAAAAATGAATCTGATCATCAAAGATGTATTTATGTGTTTAAAAATAATTGGAATGCTTAGGAATTTAACACTGTATTTACAGCTGAGATTATTTTCCAAGGTTGGCATATATTTGTGGGTAGTGTAAGCTGAGCCAGAGTTTCATTTTTCCTGTCCAAGACATGTGCCTTGATCTTGTTAAGTAGCAGTAACTTTTCTGTGTCATTACAGATCAAACCAAATGTGTGTCAGATGTTTGCATTTGAAAGCCCCACAGCCCTGAGGCGATAAAACGCAAGCAGGCAGTGAGGCCTGGGGTGGCTGCCCCAGTATTCCCAGCACTGGGTCTGTGGGGTCACCTGTCACTGTCCCTGCTTTTGCCAGGTCTGTACCTTGACGAAGGAAGACAACCGGAGTGTGGGGGTGATCCCGAGTGATGAACAGCTCCATGTGCTGCCTCTGTACAAGATCTCACAAACAGATGAATTCGGCACCGAAGAGGGCCTGGAAGCCAAGATCAAAGCCGGGGCCATCCAGGTGCTCACAGCATTCCCCAGGGAAGTGCGGATGTTGGCTGAGCCTCTCAGAGCCACCAAGAAAAAGAAACCAGACACGAGGAGGACCCCGAGTGAAAAGCAGCCATTAATAGATAAAAAGTATTCAACACCAGTAAAGCTGAAAACCGAAGCCCCAGAAAATCTGGGCAGCGCTTTGCATTGTTTAGGTGAGTGATGCTTATGAAAAATCCTGCCAGTCTCTTCTGATCCTGTGTTGCCTCTTGCACATCTGAGGGAGGGAAAAGCTCCTCAACACTCGGTTTCATGAGAACTGTGACTGGGCTGAGCTGTGTGGAGGTGCTTTTGATGTACACTGTGGTACCTGGGCTCAGATTTTGGGCTAGTCCTTCCCAGGGTAGAACTACAGTATGGGACTGCGCAGTAATGGTAAGTACAAGAGAAGGAAGAGGTGGAAGAAGCCATGGACTTGACTTCTCTGATTAGCAGGGGAAAAATAAATAAAAGGAATTAAAGCACTCTTCTTCCTGTTAGGAAGAAGAGAGGAAAATTAGCCAACCTGCTATAATTTTATTTCATGAGAACCATCCAGATATAGGTAGATTTAAGGGAAGAAATGACAGCTAAATGTATTTAGAAGAATGTCTGCATTTTGGGGGAATAACATTTAAAAAACCAAAAATGCATTTGTCACACTTTGGTAATGGCACTGAGCACTCTGTCTCAGTAGGGGACTCAGGGCGACTGATGAACCAGAAAATCAGTATTGCTGACCCTCAGGATATTAGAGAGACATTCAGTTCATCCACGTGCATGTCTGGGGACACAGTAACTCCATGCTAGGGCTGGGCTGGAAGTTCCGGAAGCATTAGAGGGCTCTGGTTTGGGAATGAATCCTGAAATTGTTTGATCTCACTGCAGTGTTGTTTTGAAAGACTGAAAGAGGTTTATGGCCCACCTACCTGTACCTGACATTGCAGGTGCAGCAGGCATGGCTTCCACACCTGGAAGCCTTAACCAGTGCTGTAACAGCCAGGGTGTCCCATATGCCTTGGGAACACAGAACTTTATTCCTTGAACATGCAAAAGTAATAAAATAACTGCGTAAACAAGCCAACTTAGATCATTTGTTTGGACTTGAACTATTTTTGTAAAGTAATTTAAAAGGGCTGGTGATTAAAGTAAGGTACAGAGCGAGGAAGAAACACTTTTATGAGCAAGAAAGTTTTTCAGGGATGGAAAAATAAGAATGTGAATAGAATATTTAGTTTCTATGATAAAAGTGCAGCTTTTGTCATGAAGTTTTGACAGAGGAGTTCCCCAAAGCAGATTTCAGCACTGTAAGCCCCACACCTGCCCATGGCCCCTGGTGCTGGGGGTGCCTGTGTGAACACTCCCAGAGGCAGCAGTAGCAGAGGAAGGTCAGCTCACTGCAGTGCTGGGCTCTGCCAGACAGGAACGTGAGGTGTTTCTGTACCTCTCTTCAGTGCTCCAGTCCTACAGGCTGAGGGCTGGGCACACACCCCAGCACCCCCCTGCTGCCCTGCCCCTGCCCCACAGTACAGTGCAGAGATCTGTAAACCCTGGATTTGGAGCACTGCAGTGTTGTATGTGCAGGGCTTGCAGTTACAGGGGATCAGTCATCAATTGCTTCTTTCCTTTCTGCCAGGGGCAGGTATCATTTTAGTCCTCAGGAATGGGAACTTGGAGTGTGGCTCAGAATGGTAGACTTAGCATGAAAACAGGATCAGAGGGTGTGGGAGACAGCAGTTAAACTGGGATATTCAGTAGTCACTCCTGATGGTAGACTAGAGGGAATGATTAATCAGGATCTTTTCATAGTAATAGAAAATAGAATGGAAAAAATCCTGATTAGAGTTTTATGTAAGTAGTGGATACAGCACTGCTCAAGGCTGGTAAGCAAATCAGAACGAAAAGATACTTAACACTACAGCTGTAGAGGGAGGTATGGATAACTGAGGTATGTAATGTAGAGTACTCGGTTTGCTAACTGAGGGCAAGAGTTGAGAATATTGCTTTGGTTTTGCAAATATGAAAAGGAATGTGGAGAACATGCAGTCAGATGGGATTCCCGTGGGTGGTAGATACTGTTGGCCACGTGCTCAGCCATGTGAGGCTGTCAGGCTCTGGAGCAGCCCGGAGGATGATGGAGTCACAAGACTATGCCATGCTGCCCACTGTGTAGGTGTAATCTGTCTGTCTGGAAGAGACCTGACCTTCACCTGAGAGCCACTGCAGTATGGCCCAGCTGGAAAGCTTGAAAGACCCCTCTAACCTGCATGTCTTCACATCTGGAGCACTGGCAATGAGAAAGGAATAAGGGAGGACTCGTCCTCTCTCCTACCCTCACCTGGCAGCCAGGATGGTGGGGAGGAGCCTGAGTCAGCTTGGCAGCACCTACAGCTGTGAGGGCTTGGTCTGAGTCCCCACTGGGCCCAGGTCTTGGGGGAAAGTATTAAACAGTGCACTTGTCATGCACCTTTTACCAACTGCAAGCAGCACAACTGTTAATTTTTACACTTTCTAATTCTGAAGGCCTTTGAAATTCTAAATTAGTATGAAATGTGTATTAATGACAGAGGCTTTACTTCCTCCCTTGCATAGTCCTGTTTTTTAACCACATTATTCGGGACAAATAAACATCAAAGATGAAAAGTTATTTCTGTCTCCGTAAATATCAGCAATTCTTCTTGGCCCATATTGGATAGAACAGGAGAGGACCACCAGCTTGGTGAGAGGCCTTGGTGTGGAGGGAGCTGTTCTAATTACATTAAATGCTTTGTGTTTGATTTCATAGAAAAGTTTTTTTTAAAGAGTCATTGTGGCTTCCTTATGTCCCACTCAGCTTCAGTTTTTGCATACTAACTATTGTGTCTGTAATTTATCCCTTGACTTTTTTGCATTCCTATTGGAGGAATGTTTTTTTTATCCATCATTATTTATAAATTACTAGAAGACAGAGTAGAAGAAAGAATAGCTCTTCTGTATGGGGTAAAGCAATTAACCAGTCTGTGTATTTATGGAACAAAGAAGAAACACTGACAGAGACAGTACCTGAGAGCTCTCTGGGGGATGCCAGTCTGCCAGCCAAACACAGGTAAAGCAACTGCAGGGCATGATGCAAAGCCCATCCAAGACAATGGAATTCTTTCCCATTGATCCTGTGGTCTCTGGCTGGAACATAGCCATGATGAGATTCAGTGACTGAGGAGCTGTTCCACAGCCAAGCCCAGCAGCAGGGCTGCCATGGCTAGAAATAGCTTAGAGAGCTGACAGGGACTGAACAAGTGTCTGCACAAAGGTGTGAAGTGATTCGTGTGAGGCAATTACATGGGAAGACGGCAGACACCAAATCACAGGATCCCGCTTTGTAGGGATGGATTTACCTGGAGCGTGTTGCCAGCTCCTTTTTTTAAAGGCAGTTATAAGTTGATATTGCAATGTAGGAGTGGCTGTAACTCAGTAATTGTTTTGGCTGTGACAGACAAGATAAACAAGCGTTTTCCTTCTGTCATAATATGGGGTCAAGGCAGCCCAGAATTTTGACTGATTCACAGGCTTAATTTCAGACAGGCTGAATCTCATCAATGATGTAACAACTGAAGACCAGCAGTCAACTGCTGGGAAGCTCTTGGGTAGGACTGGGCTGTGTGGATCAGGACTCGGTGGTTATTTCATTTTCTCTGTTTAGTTTATTCATCCCTTTGAGAAATACCTTTCTTTTTTATATACCAGCAGCCTGACTGGAAAAGGTTAAGGTGTTAATTCAACAAGGTTGTTACATGTATACTTAAGGTCATCAAGATAATCCTAAAAAGCTTAAAATAACCATTTTGAAAAATCTGTAGTCATCATGTACATTTTTCATGTTAGAAAAAAAGTATGAAATTCTAAGAGGTGTATTTTATGAATTAAGTGAGGAAAAGTACTTACACTTTGGTGTGCATTTCTTCCAGGGAACAAAACAGATGCTTTAAAACCTGGAATAAAAATGGAGACTTCCAATCACCTGTATGCCATGAAACATACTTCAAACACTACTAAAAATTGCTCCTTACTAAAGCAGTGCCCGGCTTCCTCCCCCTTTAAGGTGGATAGTTTACATCCTTGTCCATCTCTAGCACATAAGCCTGGCCTAACAGCAGTGACTAACATTCAACAAGATTTTTCAGTTCCCTACGGGTATTTTGAATGCAGTACAAAGCAACCTCACGTGACACCTTACGTCAACTGCAAGAGCTTCGATGTGTCGGTCAAGGATTATACTGGAATTCTGCTGGACGAGAAGGTGAATGGGGTGCCACCGATGCTTCCCGAGGTCACTGCTCCAGGCCCCCCAGCCCACACAGACCCCCTGCCCACTATACTTGAACACCAGCCTGACAAACAGAACTGTCAGCTCCAGCTGGACAGCTCTTCCTCACAGATCGTCAGCTCTTGTGACTTGTCAGTACCGCTAAGCTCTCCAGCCACGGATGCCGTCGGAAACGGAGCCGACTGTTCCCATGGATGCCCAGTGGAAAAGGGCGGCTCCCATCGAGGACAGATGTGTGACTTGGACTGTATTGAGGAAAAGCAAAGCAGTGCACTGGGACACCCGGCTGATTCTGAAGAAAAGGCTGAGGAATTGTGGTCAGACAGCGAGCACAATTTTTTGGACGATGACATTGGTGGGGTTGCTGTGGCACCTTCTCATGGTTCTATCTTAATTGAATGTGCAAGACGGGAACTCCACGCTACCACACCGATCAAAAAACCCAACCGGAATCATCCCACAAGAATTTCTTTAGTTTTCTACCAACACAAAAATTTAAATGAGCCAAAACACGGTTTAGACATGTGGGAAGCCAAGAGGGCCGAGAGGGCGAAAGAGAAAGAAAAAGAAGCGGAACGACTGGGAACAGAGAATTCAGAGCTGAGCTCCAGCAACAGGAAAGCAAAGCAACCAAGTGAAAACAGAGACCTTTTTTACGAAGACAATGAGTTCAACCAAATTCCCTCCCGCCGAGCGCTGACAGTGACCAAGGACAACGTGATCACGGTGTCCTCGTACGCCCTGACGCGCGTGGCGGGGCCCTACAACCACTGGGCGTAGGTGGCAGGGCCCCTCCTGGCACAGGGTCACACGGTGGTTCTCTAAGGTGCTGTTAAAGAACAAGTCTCCTGTCGTTTACTATTTGCTCATCTCAACCATTTTAAGGCTGAGGTAGAAAAAAAAAAAGGGGGGGATTTCTTCTTAAACTGTGACTTTAACATTTGGTGGTGCTCAAGCACATTTTAAGCAAAAAAAAAAAAAAAAGAAAAGCTGTATAGTTTTAATACATTCTAAAAAAGATTTTGTTTAGGTTATTAACCTTGATTGAATCATTCAGTTTATTACCTTTAGGAATTTATATTTTGGTGCTTTAAATAAAGTCTGTTTACTACAAAAATCATTTATAGGGATTTTAACAGGTTCACATTTTATGGTGTTAAATCAAGTTATACAGTTATAGCTCTACACAGCTCTTGGTGCTTAACCACATCAAACAGTTAAAAATAAATAAGCTGAATTATTACTTCATGGTGCCATTGCTTTAACAACTTCCAACCATTGCTATATAGTCCAAATTACAGATAAATCTTTTAGAAAACCAATGAATTTTGTTCTTTAGATTTGTCATTATGTATAAAATGAAGTTATTGGTAAGGATGGCTGGAAGTTGTTTTTAAGCTGTAAATATATATTTTAAAAGCACTTTCTATTTTTAAAATTAACTTGAAATAGTATAGTCTAAGGATCATATTGTCTAAGGTTTGTGCATACTCTACAGAAGTGATTTTATTCTTGCTGTGTAGAGTTCCGTGTTGTTACAGCTGCAGGATGTGCGCTCACAGCATATGTGGTTGGTTTTAACTTGCCCTTTTTCATTGAAGATTTTATGTTGCATATAAACAACAGTTATGACTTACAGGACCTTTTTATTCCTTTCAAGAGAGTGTACAAACGTGAACCAAGGAGATGTCTGGTCAGTACATGTGTTGCTATTGGGAGATATGAACATGATTTGCTTTTTTTTTACAGGCAGCATTTATTATGGTTTCTTTAAGCAATAAGTGCGTAAGTCTTGTTCCTTTGGAGCATTCTAAGTTAACATGACAACCAAAAGTTGCCTCGGGGGTAGGATTGTTTTGGGATAAAAAAAATACCCCTTGGAGTTGCCTTATTCTGTTCTGGAAAAAAATTAATTTGGAGAAAATACGAAGAAAGTGTTGGAAAATTATTAAACTTCTAATATTTAACAGCAAATTTTTCATTAAGAATAACCTATCTGTAATATTCATCAACTTTGAGTTCAGTTTTCTTACAAAAATGTTTTGTAAATTTTTGAAGCAATTTATACATTTCTCTTCAAAAGGGTTGTATCCTTTCTTCCAAACATATGAAGCTTATGTTCTACATTTCTGTTGAAAAAGTGACGTATCATGAAACGAGTATTTGCTAAATCAGAGGAAAAACAGACACTCCATTGCTTTTAAATACTGTAGCATCCCACTCTTCTTTCTGATTCTCCTCTCCTATGTATTTCTTTTATAAACTTATTTATTTAAACAAATTACCAAATGAAAACGTTAGCTAGGGACTGACCTCATTCTGCACCTTGTCCCACAGGAGCCAGGACTCCTGGGAGAGCTGTAGGGTCAGGCCCTCACACAGAGCTGTACCTTCCTCCTGCCTCACGTCCACCCCACCTGGGCAGCCTGGCGGTAGAACCAGGTCAGAGAGTTCCAGTGTGCAAACGTACTGATGATATACTTGATATATTATACTGTAGTGGTGCTGTGTAGGGGCGTAGCAGCTGTCTAGAGCTGCTTTATTGAAACCCAGACAAGGTGCTTTTTCCTGGGGAAGCTCAAGTGCAAGCACTCTCTTTACAGTTCTGGTACGACAAGTACATCAGTGGTGTTTTTAACACCTGGTGCCAGTCAAGACCTCGGTGCTACAACTCCGGTGTGGCTGCAGAGCCACGAGCCTGTGCTCCTGCACCCTGTGCACATGGGTGGTGTCTGCAGGAGCGAGGGCTGAAGTACCCATCACTCTGTAACGACCCCGGGTTCAATTCCGCACGTTTCTGTTCAGATTAACAAAGCTGTTGATGGCACAGGACGGAGGGATTGAACCCGTTCTTTGTCTCTTACCTATTTTAAGTAAAATTTGTAAAAACCGGGTATGCTGCAAATTTTAGTTGAAAGCTTAATATTAGCTCAAATAGAGGATATGAAGGGATTGTAAATAATAAAACAGAACCAATATTATGCCATTGTTTTGTACCAGCAGTTTTATGCTTATTGACTACGTAATATACAGTATACATCAAATCATTACGGTATTTTGTGTGCCTTAGACTTCCATTGTAACCCTTGTCTGTTTTTGGTGAGCCCAAGATCAGTAGGAGTGGCAGCTGTCCGTACAGTGAGCAGTACTGTACGTTCCCAGCTGTTCTGAAAGCCCTGGTCCCACACCACGAGCTTAGTTTATTGGTTTCACTGGTAGTGCTGACAGCTTTAGTTTCTCTAGTGCTGTAATTCAGCACTCCCATGTGATAAACACATTTTCTACACAAAATTAGTAAGTGACAGAGTCATCTCTTTACCTTTTCAAATGTTCATACCATTAAAGTGGATCATTTTTACTTGAATTTTCTCCTACAAATGCCCATATTTAACTTAGGGAAACTTCAAGATAAAAATGTTCCTTTGAAAAACCAGCAGCTTTCCTTTAAGAAGTGAGGCACTAAAGGATGGATCTAAAAGGATCCCTTCAAACACAGGTAGTCCAGGTCTAACTTCTTTTGAAATGGCAATTCTAACAAAGAAACATGTATCTTACCATAATAGTTAAGCTATTAACTGATAGGTGCTAAACTCACAGTTACTACTTCATTAACGTTACTCACCTAAGAAACAGCTCATCTCTACAATAACATATCCCTCCTGGTGCTCTTCATTTGACTGTGTCCCCTAAGCTGCTTTTCCAGCATGTCCTACCTGCCAGGCTGGCTGGGCACAGGGCAGGCTGTGCTTGGAGAAGCTGGTATTTTCTATTGCTGTACTGCAGTATAGAAAATGCAAGTATTTACTGTTTGTACAACTCTGTGCTATTCTTGTAACACTTCAGAATATTTATCAGTCTTGTACACAAACTGCATTGTTTTCAGTAATGTTATTGTTTTATAACAGTATTTGTCTCTTAAGATTTGCTACTCTGTGAGTCTGTTCTTTCCTTTGCTGCCCACACAGCCACTTGTAATTTGCTCTTACCTCTTAACCAAGCCCTTCTGGGATGGCCAGACCAGGAGCTGGATCTAAAATTAAGGTAGCTGGTTAGATCAGACCTGCACATTCTACTTAGTTTCCATGAGCTGGCACAATGTTCTGGATGGAACACCAGTACATGGATTCAGGTCTGGGCTGGTGCTGGGGCGTGCTTGCCTTTGGATCATTTTTCACAGTGTGCTACCAAAAACTCCTGATCCAACATGCAGCACCTCTGACTTCCATAAGAAATGTCTCATCCCTTTCTCCACGGGGTCCAGTAGCAGCACTCCACTTCCCCTCTGGAAGGAAGGAGTAGTGCTTGTTGCAGGAGCTGGTTCTGTTTGACTCCCTGAGTCCCTGTGGGAGTCGCTGCAGTCATGTCCAATTAAATAGGGAATTTACTGATTTTTCACATGCTAGTGTATTACACAAAACAGGAAAATATATTTCTATACATACTTTAGTCACAGAAGATTTTTAAGAACTTAAAATACTTTCAGCTTTCTACCTGTAACAGTTGTATTCAATTTTTTTTTAAAGGACTTTCTAAGCTAACCTTTACTTAGGAATAACTGCTGGTGAAAGTCCTTTTCTTACCTATGACAGTGCTTCTCTAGACTTAGAACAGAAAATACCTGTAGTATCTTAAACCACATTTTATGTTAAGCATGGGCAAATGACA